AACCTGTATAAGTAAAGGTTGAATGGATGAAGTGATGGAGAGTATTTCCAGAGAGGAGAGAGATGTGATGGGAGCAGAGCTGAATGGACGTGTTGGTGAAGGAAACAGAGGATGAGGAAGTGATGGGCAGGTTTGTGTCAAGGAAAGAAACCAGGAAGGACAGATGGTGGAGAAGTGAAGTCTGGACTGAAAACACATCTATTCTCCCTGGCCTTCACTCAGATTAGTCCCTAATTTACTCGAGTTTTTGGGAAATTGCAGCAAATATGCAATAGTTGTCTTGATTTTTATTAGTAGTATTATTTTATTGGTATTTTACTGTAAACTATATTATACTTTTATTTTTATTAAACTCAATTTTATTTCTTTTACCCTAATTTTATCTATGATGTGTGAAGCACTTTGATCAGCTGTGGTTGTTTTAAAATGTGCTAAATAAACTTTGAATTAAACTGAACTGGATTTTGCCAAGACAATGGAAATGGCTGTAGACCTCAGAGGAACAGCACTTGTTGAACAACTGGAGATAAAGTTAGAGAGGACACACTGAGATGGTTTGGACATGTCCAGAGGAGGGACAGTGGTTTGGACATGTCCAGAGGAAGGACAGTGGTTTGGACATGTCCAGTGGAGGGACATATATTGGTAGAAGGATGTTAGAAATGTAGCTGCAGGAAAAAGACAAAGAGGAGACATGGATGCAGTTAGAGAGGACATGGAGGTAGATGTGAGTAAAAAATCCCATCAACAGGTGACAGCAAGGCTTGCAAACAACGTGCATTTATTTAAACTCATAATCTGAAGGATAACACGTCAGACATGTCCAATAATGTCCCAGTGGTGACGTCATCGAGGCTTGACATCCTGCAGGAAGTGACATCATCTCGTCAGATGCGTTGGGACAAGTTATGGGAATTTAGCGCAGACCAAACCGAGCTTGGTGTCACAGTTTAAATCGTTGACGTAATCTTTGCCTGTAAAGAAATACAGAAATAAGAAGATCAGAGATGTTGACGTGTCGTTTCCTTGCAACACAAACTGATCGTGTGCGGCTCATTTCCGTTTCCTTCCTCAAAACATCGGTTTGTTTTCAGTTCTGAGCCCGACAAAAAGAGTGATGCTCCATTGTAACATTTTAGTCCGGTTAATCCAAAGGAACACACAAAGTCTAATCCAGCGCCACAGATTGTACTGAAAACTCCAGCCTGCAGGACAACGATGACTTCTGTACCGTTCAGGTTGATCATCATGCATTTCTCATTTCCACCCATGTTGTTCGGTTCGGTTTTCCCCCAGCCATTGAAGATGAACTTTTCCCCATCGCTCCAGAACCAAACCCTGTCCTGTTGCACAAACATTTTACAAAGTCAGTTCATTTCCGTGTTTACGTCATGGAAGAGTTTTTGTCTCACAGAATCCTGACCTTCCCTACAACGTAGCCTCCGACCCAGACCGCTGCATCGGATCCTGCTGCTTTGTTGATCAGTCCCCTGATGAACTCGTATTCACCTTGGGTTGAAAAGGATTCCAAGTTTGCATCAAACGAGTTGCAGAAACGCTGAGAGGGAAGAGGAGATCCCAACCACATGAATCACTGTTACATCATCGTTGTACCACATTACACCGCCTTGTTTTCCTGTTCACACTTTCTTCTCTCAACTTTAGTGAGATTATTTAAAAAACCTTCAGAAGCTTCAGTATATTCAAAACAGTGCAGCCAGGATTTTATTGAGAGCTCGTAAATTTGAACATATGACACCCATTCTCCATAACCTCCACTGGCTTCCTGTCACCTGCAGAATTCAGGACAAACTGCTCTCATCACCATCAGTGTTTATACGGAACTTCACCAGATTATCTGAAGGACCTTCTTGCTCCATATTCATCCACCCGGTCCCTACGATCACAGAACAGTCATCTCCTCCACCTTCCACGAACTAAATTAAGAACCATGGGAGATTGTGCATTCTGTGTGCCCCCCCACCCCCCCCACCCCTCCACCTCTGGAACTCCCTCCCTGAATATCTGAGAGCTCCGCAATCATTGACTGACTTTAAAAAAGGCTTAAAGACTTTTCTTTTTAAGCAAGTCTATTCTGCCTCCACATGATTGTATCATTGATTTTAGTTGATTTTATCATTGATTTTAGTTGATTTTATCATTGAT